TGAAGTCCGATTTCGCACAACTTTGTGAACTTTGTGTATTTGATGTGTGTACGTGACGAAAAAAAAAGGTCGTGACGATGTTTTCCTAAGGCTTGAAGTCTTATTTGGAACATTTTCCTTGAATCTACGCAACATAGCCCATAACCGCTCGTTCATAAGACGATGGTCTTGTGCCAAAGATGCTAGACATCAAAGGAAAATAGGAATTGACTGGAATTTCTAGAAGGGTGAGCCTCAATTCTATTTTTCTAAGATGATCCATAGGAATTTCTAGAGCTAGAATCTAGGCTCTAAGGAGGAGAAGACAAGACCTCACAAAAATGAGGTCAACATGCATATAGAAGTTTAAGTTATTTCCGCTAAGTAATTACATGGGCGCATATATTAGATTACTATAAGATTTTTATTGAATAATGAAAGATCAACATGAATATTATTTTCTCTTTCTTTGGTTACTATAGTTTAAGTGTAATTATTCTTAAGTTATCTTTAGGTAACTAATCATGTGGTTTTAATATTATTTTTTAGATTCTAAGATTTTGAGCAGGATGAATAGAAAATGAGCTAATATGTAAATAAGACAATTAATGATGAGAAAAGTAACATTTTGACTTGTAATTTAATTTACTTTGTTTAGTTGCTCTTTCAGTGAATATTTGGATATTATAGTTATAGAATTACAAAATAAAATTAGAAATATAAAAAATTTAATTCCACCGTCCGACTGCTTGTCCCTCCTTGGTTAATTTCAAGTTCGGGGTCGGGTCGTGACATCTACAGTCGCTGAGAGAGGCACCAGAAACTGCCTTTTGTGATGCTAGAAGAAAATTTCATGGAAGATATAATATCTGAGGCAGTGGAACACTCATTAGACGAGTTTCAAGTTTCTCTGATCTCCGGTTTACCTTTTATGCTGTCATTATGAAGAGTAGGCCAACAGATCATCAGTTTCGATAGAAATGAGAAATCACTGAGCAAGCCAGTAGATCATCACTTTCGATAGAGATGAGAAATTATGACCAATTTTTCGGAGGCTTTATGGAATAAAATGAATACTAAGATCTAATTCAATTGATCAATTTCACTCACAAACTAATGGCCAAACAGGAGTAGTGAATCGTTACGTTGGAAAGCTCATTCAGTGCTTTGTGGGATAAACATCCAATAGTGGGATTCAAGTCCTTCGATAAAAGAAGAAAAAATTTCTCTTAGTTGGCGAGAATGATGCGGGAACATCTCCTGCGATCCTGAGCCATGCGGGATTTTATAGTCATGAAATTGCTACAATCGAGTTGCACATCTTAATTTCTGTTTCAGCCTAGATTTTCTACCTTTTTATTTATTTTCTATTCCCTTATTTCCTTTTTCCTTATTTACAAATTTTCTTATTTGTAAGTAGAGTTTTTATTTGGGACTATTTATATGTTGTTAATTTATTTTTTGAGGGACTTTTGATTTTGGGTTTAGTTGGAGATATTTTCTTTTGGTTATCTCTATTTGAGTGTTGCATCCTTAGATTTCTTTCTAGTTGTTTGTAACCTGATAGCATTAAGTTGTGATCTTTCCCAGACACTCAGAGTCCTCTTTCGTTGTCCAACTTGCATCCAACTGTTGTTTACAGTTAAAAAAATTGCCTTTATTAGTTCTTGTTCACTGTCCTGCCGTTATTCACACAACAATTTTAGCTGACACCCATCCTTGACATCCTTGTCACACTGTTTTATGATTTTCTTTTTTGTTTTCAGTTGGGGCAGTCACCGAACATTTTATATCCCCCTCCATATTACAGATAGCCCAAAATTTCATCCCCTTACTATACCTTCTCCCCATTAGACCCGCTACCCGAACACTTTGTAGGAGCTCTAGATCGGTGTCAGTGTCTCCTGTCATTGTCTATATTTTTCACTTCTTGCTTACTAAAAGAGATTATCCTCTTATTTGGGCAATCAGACACGTTGTGCCTTAAAGTTGTGATATTTGAAGCACTTCTTGACGATAGATTTGGGAAAGCTGATGGTCTCTATTTTTTCTCTACTTTGGATTGGTTTTTCCTCAGGAGTCGGCTTAGTTATTTCGTTGGGTGTACTCTTATTGCCCGATTCGATGGTTGAACCTTATTTAATGTGTGGTGTGGGCTTAATATTGTTATATTACTCTCTATCTTTAGGGCTAAAATCTGGACATCCTATAATGTCTAATATGACTGTAACTCTACCACGTTGCTAATGAATGGTCTCAATCCCTTCAAGATATCAAGCTATGTTGTTTTCTTTGGTCTCTACTAGTTTAGATTTCAACATAAGTTACTTGAAATCAGTTGTGTACTCTATCGAGAGATCTTTTTGCTATAAATGATGAAACCTCAAGAATACGTTTTATTTGTAATTTAAGTGTAGGTACTTTAGCTGCATCTTCTTTTTCATCTTGGACTAGATAATAATTATTTTTTTCCCTCACACAGGCGTAGACACTTCAAAATTTTCCACCATATTTAATTTAATAGCAGGTAGTTTTACTCTTCAGTCAGGTGAAACATCCTTGAACTCAAAGATCCGTTCCATTTTCTGGAGCCACTCGATGAAATCAACTAGATCCATGCGACCTTCACAATCCGACAAGTCAATCTTCACTCCAAAATCCTAGCTTCTCAAAAGCCAAATCGTTTGGGTATTGGTTTTCACTAGAAATTTTATAGTGGAAAGGAATTACTTTCTCCTCGTAATACAGTGAGTTGCCATTGTTGCTATGAGTGACTTCCCGGGTTGTCTCTTCTCAAAGGTGACAAGTCTTGGTTGTAGTTGAAGAATTTTATGCCGTGTATCTCTCATTGTAAGTTTTTAGACATCTCTTTAAGTGTTTCTTCTAGTGTCATTGTGTCATTTTGTTTTGGTCAGAATTATGGTAAATGTAGGATTGCAAATAAAGTTTGGTCGAGGCCTTAGGTTTTGCTGGTAGGTGTGGGGATGGGTTTAGTAGAGGTAATAATATTCATTTTTGAAAATTTAGAGTTAGGGTTAGGAATTGTGGTAGGAATAATTAGGGTATGATGGAGATAATTTTGATTTAGGCACAAGAAAAAAAATCCTTAAATCTTTATGATTTGCGGCTTTGATATCAGATAATATATCGTTCTAGGGCGCCTAGGTGTTTACAAAGTTGTAAGAGGGGTAACGAGAAGCGGGAGAAATAGTGGCGGTGGAATTCCAGCGTGAATGACGACGGAATTCCGAAGTGAATAGTGGTGGGACAATGAACCGAAATGAGAAAATAGCATTTCTACTGCCAAACAGTATTCAACAGTTTTGAAAATGATAGAGGCAAAATCTATTTTTGGACAACAAATTCGAACGGTTTTGATGGCTGTCTTGGCTGAAAAAAGCGAGACAAATGGTGAAACAACAGACGACAACACTCTTAAAAGCAGAAACTCAGAGAATAATTCTTCAAAATACATGAAGTTTAAATTTATATCTCAGAAACAACAAAATACATGCATAAATAGTCTCACAATAGAAAGGAACCTATTGATAAATAAGGAAATTTGAAGAGAATTCAGAAAGGGAAAAAAAATTCTGCATAAAGTGATAACAGGACGAAATCATGGGATTCAGTTATTTCGCTCTCGTGGAAACCGTTAATTTTGTGTTATTGCATAAGTCCCATGATCGGGATCATAGCTTTCGCAATTCAGACACTACACATCAATGCATTTCGGTGCAAAAAGAAATTGTGCAAGGAAAATGACTAATAGGAAGACGGGAATGACAGAGGAAATGAGAATTTGTGGGGGCAGAGAAGTGTAATATGTCCCATTTACATCCTTTGGTTTGAACTTTTCAAGGGTCCATCAACTTTTTTGAGTGATAATGTAGTAGAACCTTGTCTTTGTTGAAGAATGCGGCTTACATACTATTATACTATCTGCTTTTACTTAATTAAGCACTGTGGTGTCTTTGGCAACAAGGCGAGGAACTATAATAAAAGGAGCACCTCCTGGTGCCTGAATTCAAGGGGTCAGCACATACCTTCAAGTTGGGAATTTGTTAGATTGTTTCTTTATTGATTTACTTTTCGATGTTTATGTTAAATAAGATACTGTTTTTTATGATTCATATTACTCACTACATATCCCAATAAACACTTGTGCTCACCAATGAGAAAATAATAGGCTGCAGTATTGGTTTTCCATGATTTTTGATATCGTCATAATTCCTAGGGAAGGTTGAAATTATCGTCAATAGCTATTATGTTCAATTTCCTTTTTTTTTCTTGACAGGGGTGCGTAACATCTTCGTTGTTGTTTTTTTGTACTACTTAAATTATTATTATCTTGTTTTTTTTGTACTCCTTTTTTCTGTTCTTAAATTCCTTTCCCTTTTATTACTTCCACCAATCTGTGATTTCCCTCCATTTTAATCTTTAATGTATATAGAATTAGAATAATTTTCTAAAAAAGTACAGAAAATGAGGAGAGAGTGCTAGATTGAAAGGAGCAAAATTGGCAACTCTTCTGTGAATGGCGAATTACTTGCTTCTCATGCTTGGCAATTATAGGCATTGATGTCTATTGGTGCTTGTTGTCTTACACCATTGGATTTATCACTCAAGAACTCTAATGTTTTTTTTTTTGCTTGCTTACCTGCCTATTCCTGTTTTTTGCTTGTGTTAATCAATTTTATTTGTGTGATCCAATTCTTTTGTTGGCTAATTCTGCTGGCATGCTTGTGGTTGTGACTGTATTGTACTTAGGTGCTTATTAGGAAAGAACAGCACAAATTCCTGATTAAATGATCGACATCCATTTATTTGATGAAACTTTTCATTTCCTTATGTTTTTAGTGTAATTCTGCTTTTATTTCAACAATTTTTTTGTTCTTTATTGTTACCCGTTATGGAAATTAAATCAGGCGTGGATAATTTTCTGGGAATTCCTTAATTTTTGTGCTTATGTTGGTAATTTTTTATTTAGTACTTCAACAATCTTTATTTTGTTTTTGCAGATAAATTCTCAATTGTTCTCGTTTCTGGACCATACGGTCTCATATTTTCCTCCTTTATACCTTTTTATATTGATATTCCAGTTTCGACAAGGCTTGGTATATTTGGCATTCCTTTCACTGACAAGTCATTCATATATATAGCTGGCTTTCAGGTTAAACTGGTTCTTTTAAATTTTTTTTTATGACATAATTTATCTTTATATGTTCAACTCATCTTCTTTTTATTTATATCTTCAGCTTCTCGTGTCATCCTGGACGCGGTCATTAATACCTGGTATCTGTGGTATTTTCTCTGGTTCTTTATATCGTGTCAATGCTTTTGGCATCCGCAGTATAAAGGTCTGTGCACAATGGTGCTTATTTTCCTGTAACTCGTGTCTGCATAACTTATATCTTCAAATTATACTTTGTGGTGATTCTCTTTTCTTTATTTTCTTTCTAAACTTCGAGTTTTACTTCTTTGGGTAGTACAGAGACAAGAAACTGTTTGATATTTGGAGAAACTAAGATATTGTTGAAATAGTGTTGTAATGATAAAGTTGGCCCATTTGGGGCAGCTTATTAGGTGCGGTGCATTTTGAAAATGCCCTGAGGCTTGTTTGGTTGTCACGTTCGATCTGCTTAATCGAATAAGCTGTCCGTTGTTTATTAATAAACGCTGTCGCAAGATATACCTTGTGGCCCGTGTTCTTTTGCGGGCATATTACCCGCGTGCCCCTCCAACCTTCGATCACATTTTTGCCTTAGGTGCCTCCTTGCTTGGCTCCCTCCCTCCTCTCTCGCACTTAGCATCGCATTTCACCTCTTCCTCCTCCCTCCAATCTCTGGTTACTGTGCTCTGTAAGTAATTTTCGATGGAATACTTTTCTATATGTGATTTCTGACATTTTTTCGATGAAACGACATTCTTTATGTGATTTCTCAATGGAATGACTTTCTTTATGCGATTTTTTTTGATTTTTTATTGAATTTGGAGTATGGATAAAACTATGTGCTTGATTTGGAATTGTAAAATAGGTTACAGAGGATGCTCATTGTCGGTCAACTTTTCGTTGATTTGAAAATATGAAAATAAAAATAATTTTTGAGATTTAATTTAATAAAAGAGATATATATTTTTGGTTTTGAAAGTAGTATGTTTTAATTTTGAAAAAGAAATGAGACCAAGTGAATCTCATTCGTCCAATAGTTTTCATAATCGTGTCCAATACCGCGAATATTACACCCTCTCGAAAGATGTGTATACCTCGGTGATAGACCCAATCCTGCAAACTAAGAGATTTGTGACATCCATTTCGTCTGCGAACATTTTATGTATGACCGACAAATTCCTCTATCTAATACAAAGATTAAATAAGGTTTATTTTACCTGGGTTCCAAGTTCCCTATAGAGGCAACTCCCTATAATTAATTACATCTCAAATGACGGAAGTCACGTGAGAAAACTCTCGATAATGATCAGTGGTTTTAGTCTTCAAGAATTCAAGGTTTAAGTTTTCACGGTAGGAGGTGGAAAAACAAGTGAGAGTGACTCAAGTAGGAACAGTTCTTTCAGGGGTCTAATGGAAGTAAAGGGTAGGGGGCGTCACAGATCTTGATGAGGAATCTCAGTGACTTTCCAAACTATTCTACTGTACGGCTACGTTTTAGAGAGGATGTTATTTGAATGTTTAATCTTGCAAATTTTATTATTTGAGACTTATATTTGCATAATATCCTATTATGCAAACAACCAATTTTATTATTTGAGACTTGTATTTGCATAATATCCTATTATGCAAATAACCCGCAGAGATAATGCAAATAACCCGCAGAGATAGGAGAGTTTACGTTGTAACGAACAACAACCTCAGAACCTAAAGTGAATTAGGACTTACACTGCACAATATTGTTGCACATGTGCATAAAGAGGGTATGAAGATTTACATCGCGCTAGACGAGCTACCTCGAAGTCCTAGGGGTTGCTATTTAGACCAAGGAGAGAGTTTAGCAGGTGTAGACTTGTTTTGCTGTTGTAGAATGACAGACATCTCCACCTATAGTCCGCTCTAAGCTCCTTGTCTTGCTGCCCACGAAGTTGCTCCAAGCTCATGTTGTAGCGATGGCTCCATGGTTTACGTCTTTGAGATTGGTGATTTATATTTCATAGTTTTAGTGTCAAAGTTTGGTTTTGGGTGCAGAATAATCAAATTGCAGGTAAATAAAAGGTACTTGAAAAGTAAATGCAGTAAAGTTTAATACTGTAGATAAACTGTAAAAGCATACTTAGACATCTGTTACTGTTGCGTTATTAGTGTTACGAGCATAGTATGACTTGCGACAGATTTAAATAAACTCGCAAGAAAAATAAACAAGGCGAGAAAACCCTGCACGGATAGTCAAAAAAATGAGTCGTAAAAATCACGAACAAAAGAAACCCTTAGCCACATATGAAAGATCAAGACTGGGTGTAAGTCATTAGTAAAAGCGGGAGGCTCAGAGCTGGACTGTGTGCTTCCCGATCTTGAATAAGAGTTACCAGCCCGACAATCTACAAAAGGTAGTCCTTAACCTCAATCCAAGTGACTAGTCTGTGGACCTTTATAAATTTTCATAGAAAGATTTTCATGGAAAAGTTGTTTTTCAAGTTTTTTTTTTATGCAGAGTTCTTTTTAACATGCAAAAGAAATTTTTATTTTTATTTTTTGTAAATATTTTGTAAAATCGTATAGTCCACAGGCTAGTCACTCTAATCGTGCTAGAGCTACTGATAACCTATGAGTGTCGGGGGCAACGATCCCAACAAGAATCGGCGAATAGTATCATAGATCATTTCCTCTCCTTTATTGAAGATCCTGGAGGTAGGAGATACTATTCTAATAATCCCACTTTGTATCCGTATCCCTCGTTTAAATAAGCAATGTCTTCATCGCCCTCGCCACCTAGACCCTAGACTTATCCTAGTCCGGTGATCCATATGTGGCGTTAAATCCATATGTGGCGTTAACGTTAACAAATTTTCCCAATTGCTAGGAGGATTTGAGTGTAATATCCAAACTCAAATCCCGGTGCACTGAATATCACTGTAGGTTAAGTCATTGTGAGAATTTCATTTCATTGTTGATTTAATTAAATTAATTAAAGAAGCATGAACTACGCCTCAGTGCATCCTTATGTCTAGTGTCTTAATCAGTTTGTGAATCACCTAAGGTATGTTCCTGAAACCTAGGAAGTCTGTGCAGAGAATTAGGTGGATGGACTCTCACCTAGGGTGTGCTCCTAAAATATAGGAAGCCTATGCTGAGAATTAGGTGGATGGGCTCTCACCTAGGGTGTGCTCCAAAAATCTAGGAAGCCTATGCTGAGAATTAGGTGGATGGGCTCTCACCTAGGGTGTGCTCCTAAAATCTAGGAAGCCTATGCTGAGAATTAGGTGGATGGAATCTCACCTAGGGTGTGCTCCTAAAATGTAGGAAGCCTACACTTTAACTTGTGCTTAAAGTGATTGAAAGTGTTCTACCCCCAATTAAGTGTTTTTTTCAACTAATCCTCAAAATTCTAAGTGTCTTCCAAATAATTAAATCAGAAACTCCCACTTTTTGATTTAACCATTTAACAAAAATACAAAAACAAACGAAAAGAAAATGTTGATCCACTTTCAAAACTAACAAATCAAAAGAGGAAATAACAAGTGCAAAAGACTAAAAACGTTTAAAATCTTTCAACAACTGTAATTTAATAGACTCTCGAGAAGAGTGCTTAAGTTTGTTCCAAGACAGTGCACAAAATCAGCCCGAATCGACACATAAAGTGACTCCAAAACAGCAATCAAAATCAGCCCAGACCAGCACCTATAGTGGCTCCAAAACAGTGCCCAAAATAAGCTCAAATAAAACAGTGCCCAAAATAAGCGCAAATTGGCACTTAAAGTGGCTTCAAAACAATGCATAAAGATCAGACCTTAAATTCGCCTCAAAACATTGTGTAAGCATCTCTAAATCAACAAGCAAAAACATCCTAAAACAGTGTCGAAATTGCTCCAAAATGGTTCCCAAATTATTTCCAAAAAGCATATAAATCCTAAGGATGAAAAGATACATTTCACGTTAAGAAATAGAAGTGCCTCTTATGTATAATTAAAGATCAGAGTGGTGTAACTATAAAGCTTTGGTTCCACATATGCAGATAATATAAGCATTGTATGGTATGCACGTAAAAATTGAAGCCAATGTGATAGATATGCAAGCACATAGCAGTTGAGTGGCATGTTTGTAAAACAAAGCTTAGGTATTAGACATACAAGTACATATGATTGACATACAAGTTGATTCTAAGACTTGGGTGCTGGATATGTGAATACATGAGGGTTATATGGTATGTATATAAATTTCTCGTAATTGAAATATTTAAATCCTGTGTTCAGATCTTCAACCTTCACTCATTCATCAATATATATTACTCATTCATCAATATGTATTACTCATGGATAAGTTTCTGGTAGAAACAAGTAAGCATGTTGGGCAATAACGAGTCCACAATTCAATTTTTCATAATTTCTTGGGTTGAGATAATAATGTAACAGTGAAATTCAAATGTTCAAATATTAACTCTGAAGCACAAATATGAAAAGATAATCTTCCAGTTTCAGCCATGTTCAGTAATGGGTCTAAGGAGCCACAAGTGAATTCAGTGGGTATGTACGTAAATCTTCCTAACTCTTATATGGCCTATATTGTATAAGAATAAAACAATACTTCAGGAACAAAGCAAGACTTCGTTACCCAATTACTGTAATTGCTGAGTTCTGTACTCCAGCCAGACGTTTAAGAAGCTCGAAGAAGTTCAGTGTTCCTCCTACCTCCAATGCGGGCGAGGGAGGGTGAGCCGAGTGATCCTGGTCGAAAGAAAGAGAGGAGTCCAGCGAGAGGGAGCCGTTCGGTCTGGTGAGATGGCCAGCCGAGCGGGGTCTGGTCGCGAAGAAAAGGGTAGAGGCGAGCGGGGCTTCGATGCGCTGAAGAGGGAGTTGAGCAGATGAGGGGGAGACTGAATGCGGGAGAGCTGTTTCGGCTCAGGGGAGAGAGAAGTAGGTGAGCGGACTCGGCGCAGAGAGGAGGCGAGAGGGTGAAAGCTTCGATACAAAGAGGAGTCTGTCGAGTGAGGGAGGCGAGTGAGAGTTTCTGGAGGGCGAGCAATGCAGAGGGAATGAGTCGAATGCAGGGAGAGTTTCGGCTTGGGGAAGGAGGCAGGGCAAACGAACGAAAAGAAGAATCGTTGAGGAGCAGCTTTGGGGTCGTAGAGGAGGAGCAATTTCGTCGTGTGGAGGAAGGGGCGTGCGGGATCGAGCGTGAGGAGGAAGAGGG